GCGACCCGCCGGGGCCGCCGCCGCCTGCGGAGGGACGGGCGGCGCTCCGGGCGCGCTGCCCCGGCCCCGCCCGCGCGGGGGAGGGACCCGGGGCTCTCCCGTGCGCCGTGACCTCACGCGGCCGGCAGGCTTTCCAGGCCCTTTCGGACGCTTCGGCTCCGCAGGCCGCACCGGCACGGCGCCAGGAGGGTCTGGATAATGCGGGCAGGAGGATGAGCGCGTCTCGCTGGTGCGAAGGGGGCTCCCCGCGGCACAGCCTCGGGAACACGCTCAACAGGCGCTGGAGAACGTACCTGAGGTCCCAGCAGCGAGGGCGTCCCGTATCATTTAAGCATTCCAACAGACAGGTACCTCTGCCGTCACACCATCGCTCCTCTGCCTTTCTGCTTTCTGCCAAAAATCCCCCAGAAAAATAATCTCACAGTAGCACAAGCACTCGTTCCACACTCACTAATTATACCCGGTTATACCCATACTCCGGTCACAGGATGAGGAAAGCCACAACAGCAATCGCTCCTTTCCCTCTTTGCCAGCTCCCACAAATCTCCTTGACTACCCATTTCTTTCATTCATCTCTCAGACGTGTTTTACTCCCTTTCTTACAAAACATCTTCCAAAAAATAACACTTCTCACTTCCAACACTTCTTTAGTGAACTAAGCAAATTCCCAAACAGGCTTCTATAAAGCTAGTCAAATATTTTTGAGGTAGTGTCACAAAAGTGTCACAAAAAACCAAATTTCCTGGGTTTTGCAGCATTAAATGTATTCTGTTTGGGGTAATGCTGTTTTCTGCTCTAATGAGGTCGTGTGGGGTTTTATCCCTTCATCAGAAAAAAAAAATCCACCACAAATCAACCAAAACCTCAACCATTTCCCACCACAGCTGACACTCCAGGAACTGAAACATTTTTTGGATTATTCTGGAACTGTGTGTCCAGTAGATCACCCCAGGCCAGCTGGGACTTCAGGAATTCTACAGCTCAGGAACCTAAGCAGAGCAGGAAACTAATTAAAGGCTAATTACTTCTTGGGGGCGAAAAAGCACTAAAGTTGATCAGTTACATGGTATTTGAGAAGTTTTTGATCTTACTTGCTTTGCTAACTCTGTAGGATGGGGCCTCCTGCAGACTTTGTTGGATGGACTGGGCCTGAAGAGGACATAAGAAGCTGTTACAGTTGCTAGGACTCATCCTTCACATTTTGTCCACTTGTTACTCATCCTCCTTGTTACTTTCTAGCAGTGAGAGTCGGACTTCTCCGGCAAAACTCTCTTTCCTTCAGAAACACAGTACTTGAAATGCTCCTGTTTGGAAAAGGGGCTGATTTACACCAAAGGAAACCAGGAGAATAACAATTATTGTTTATGTTTTAATGCTCATGCTTTATCTTGTGTGGAAGCATCCAAGCCTACCAAGGAACACTGCAAATTCCAGGCTTGCATGGAAAAGCAGCATTTTACTTGTATAGAGTGAATATTCAGGAGGAATTACAGGGTTACAGACCACCCCAAAGCTCCTTTCCATGCTGTGTAACTTATCATTACTGCCAAGCTGGCAGAGAACCTGACAGTCTGAGATAAAGAAACTTCCCTGCCCAACCAACAGCAATTCAGATCAACATTTCAAAAAAAACCCAACAAAACACAAAAACAATTAAGATAAATAAAAAAAAAAATACCTGCCTCAAAGTGTCAGCAGCTACCAAGCAGAAATAGTATTCCAAGGATCCAAGGACTTTCACTTTTCTACTGTTTAGAAAGTATCTTAATTACAGGCATCTGACATTCCATAAGAAATAAGAAAAAGCAGCAAGACTCCATTCCTTCATATAGTGTTTCCTTTCTGAAAAAAAAAAAAATCCTGAGTGGTTCCTTTTGCGTTTTTGGGGTTTTATTTGCCTTGGGCAAAAAAATCAGAAAACACTCCATCTGACAATTATTAGATGAGTCCTGCACTGGCAAGTGTGAAACTGGAATCACAATGGTATCTTAATTAGCTGATAAAAGCTTATTTTCTTTCCTAAGTTTCTAGGCATGTAGAAAAACATCAAAGCAGCACCAGTGTTTCTTGTGAGAAGCTTTTGTCCTGTAGATTACCTGCTCTCCTCGTGCTGCAGCCCTAGTAGGAACAGAAAGGATTGCAGGATGACAGTGGGATGCATTTTAAACACCTGTTAACAGGAGAGAACAAAAAGCCCTTCACATCTAAATTTTTTTAGGACTTTTATTGAAAAAATTTAAAACCAAAAAATTACCAAGGCCAGTTTTACAATAAATTTAAGACATACAGAATGGTTTACCTGCTACACAGGACAAACCTTATTACAGTATTTCTCTCATGCAACTCCTGGATTAAAACCACATCCTCATTTAACATCCAAAAGGATTATTTATAATTTCTTAGGATTTAACCTTAAAATATGATTTAAAAAGTCGATTTTCCAAGGGTTAAAAACACGTACACAGCAAGATTCCCCCCTTCCCAGACCATCTCCCGATGTCTGATAACTGGCAGAAATAGACCACTGAGCTCGTTTTTCCTTTTTTTGTTATTCTAACCTGAGAAATTTCTTAAATAATGCTTACTGGGCTGTCATATTTGGCAACACGACTTCAGTTACAGAGCAAAGTGCAATTCCTTATTCTTGTCAGATACCAGTCTGTCAGTGCTTGTCCCAAAAGACACTCTCAGAACCAGGAGTAGCATTTGTCCCCCAAGACACTCTCACAGCTGCAGTGGTGTTAGCCTAAACCTCCTTCTGGTAAGTTAAACCTTGTTAGTAACACCATTGGGACACTAACCTCAGGATGCAGAGTTCCCATCAGTTGTGTAATTCCCAGTATTGTGCGCTTTGAAAATATTTACTTTGGCATGTTATACTTTGTAGCAGAGTTGATTTTTTTTGTGCTTACTCCTGGCCTTTACAAAATCTGTCTTTTCTCTCTTGCATTTATTCAAGCCCTTTCCCTTGCCACCAGTTATCTCCCTTTCTCATAGCTGCAACAGAAGCAGGACACAAAGCACACAGTTACATTTAAAATGTGAGAGCTACAAAAGCTGCTGAACAGCAGACCGTGCTCTGGTAAAGCACTCTTAGTTGATGAATATACTTGCAAACTCCGTGAATCTTTTAGAACACTAGTCAAGAGTTCAATTTTAAATGTCTAAGCTTACTAGTATTTAATTTCAAACCCTCCAAATAGTTGGTGTTTAAATGTGCTACTCACTTCACACTTGCTCCCCATATATAAAACCAACACTCTCCAAAGAAATTATAAAAAAAACACTTGAAAGAAGCAATTTAATGTCCAACAGACTAGAACGTCTACATTTTCAGTAAATTTGTAAGTTACATCATTTGGGTTATTCAAAATTGTTTCTCTTCAGTTCTGTCTGAACACACCTGATTTTCAAATGAACAATGATTTCTTCACAGTTACTAGTCCTGTGTACCTGACTAAAATCCAAGAGAATATATAAACTGAGTTTTGTTTGCTCCACACTCTGCCTATTAAAAACCTTTAAAGTAACCACGGAGATGAAAAGTGCTTGATTGGAAAGGCGCAGAAGTCACACATCCTGAGAAATGGCTGAATTTTTCTGTTTGTTTCAGAATAATCCTGGTTGTGACTGTACTAAATACTGAAGTGTTTCAGTTTTCAACTTCTCTGCAGATTGGTTTTAATAGAATGTTATAGGAGATTACCACAAAAAAAAGAAAAAAAAAAGTGGAGATACCCACACAGTTGGTACATGACAACCTTTTATTCTACTGTAATTTGTTGGCATTTTTGATCCCAAAAGAGGAAACAACAGACTTTGGATTTTCTTAAATGTGTTCCAAAACCAAATTTCTTTATTTTCCATCCAATTATATTAGACAAGTGTTAAAAAAATAAGGAGCAAACCTAACTGTTTCAATAACCTTTAGTCTCACGTATCTTTTAAATTATACAGTGCAAGTGTATTTTGCATATCAGTGCTGAGTGCACTTTAGAAAGGACATCTGTTGAAGTATTTCCAACAGGTCTTTATAGCACCATATAATCTGATGTCAATTTAACTGCTTAGAATCAGCCAGTGCTTAGAAAGTAAAACAATGATATTTCTATTTCATCTATCATTCCAAAAAAAGAAAATAAATCTGGAAGCTTATGTTATCCAACTGAATTAATGTAAACAATTAATTACCAGACACTTGATTTTCATTTATTCCAGTTTTGTGACCCTGGCTGATGAATTGCTACATGATCCTTCTGTAATGGCACGGTTTAATTCAGTGGCAGGAAAACATCACAGATGTATTGAATGAAAACATCTCTCTCACTTTTCCTTGGATTGTCAAAGTCTCTCTTTGCAAGATGTGGTGCTGAGCCTTCTGCTAAGGCTCATTTTTAATTCATACTTGAAGAGAAAAGCAGTGACAAACACAAGAGGCTGAGTGCTGGCAAAGCCACGGTACAACACTATAGGAACAGCAAGGCCATGAGGAAGCGAGAGGTAACCGAGGTATCTGGAACAAACCAAACCTGCACCAAACACAAGAGAGCAGCTTAGCCCCACAGCACATTTTACATTCTTCCAATACTTGATTGGTCTGTTTTCTACTGACACACGATTCAGAATTTATTCAGAATTGAAGGAACACACCATCTGATTCGACACGAAGTCCATGAACCATTCATGCACTGATAAAAGCTGCTGTTGTTTTTTCACAGGTAACACTGAAGTAGCTGTGTCAGAATGGCACTGGGTTGAAATGAAAGCAATGCTGGTACTTTACCACTTCTGGTAATTGTTACCTACAACAGTCAGTGACCATCTGCTCAACACTACAAGAGGCTTGTTTTCCAAACATGAGTTCCAGTAAGCTGAATTACAAATGAGATCAGTCTGAATACATTAGAAAGATCACATGGTGTATTTCTGGAGGAAGCGGTCAAACGCATCGTAAATCGCTTGTCTGAAAGAAGGGAAAGAGAACAGAATTTGTATAATCTGAGAAAAGGCAAATACAAGTGGTATTTTTCCATATATTTACAAATGTATCTATAAAGCGATCATCACAAATTCAAACAGTGTTCAGTAAAAATGTGGTTATCAGGTGGTATTTTCTCCTTCCTTTATTTCTGGGATCTCTCACTTCAATCTAGTAATATATTTGTGTTTCAGGAATGAGACACATTCCTTGCACTTCAATGCAAGTGGAAATATAGATGAATTCAGAGTTTTCTACTCTAACACATGAGAGACATACACAGCTTGAAATTTTTGAGCAGCTATCATAAAAGTAAGGCTGAAGTTTTAAATAGCAATAAGCTACTGGTCAGCATACATTGACCCGATATAGTGCTATTCTTTTTTGTTCTTGCTTAGACTTCTTAAATTATGTGTGTAGTCTTCCTAATTCCTTGTATTTTAAAATTACCAGCACAAGTAATTAACTTTTGAAATCTATGGAACTGCAGTCATAAAACTGATTTACATAACTGTCTTTAGAAAATCAACATCTGATATTACTAAGGCATGAATCCATGCAAGTATTATTTATTTAATTTGGATTCAATCTAAAATTTAATTCTAAACCTTTCTGTTCACCTTACCTGAAGAGTCCTTGTTTAAACAGGTAGGCACTGACATGACCTCCATCCAGATACCTGATTTCACAACCTGGCCAGATCTCCTGGAGGCTGCGCACGCCGGTGCGAGGAATGTACGCATCCTCCTTGGCTTGTACCACTATGATTAAACTTGGGTCAACTGGAACTAAAGGAAAACAAAGCACAACTGAATTCATCTGTGCTAAGAAATAGAAACACAACAGCTGAGACTTCTGTTGTCAAAATGCTATTTTCACAAAAAATTAAATTATTCGAAGCTTTAATAAAATCTCATGTTCTAAAGCCTCCAGCAGAATGTATCTGGTTTTTGGTGTTGCAGTGGTGAGGCCAGCAGTGGAAAAACAAACTAGCCCTTAGCCTTCCCACCCCTAGAGCACAAATTCCTCAAAGACTTGTGAAGTTGACAGGAGAATTCTCTTTCCTCTTATCCACAAAATTCTACAGCATTCATGTCAGTTCTTTGAGATCCCTTTTTATTGGCAAAAAGAACTATTAAATTCAACACAGCAGAAGTTCCATATATTTTTTCCCCTCAAGGAGGAAAAAAGACAACTTTTCATACAAGAGGTCAGAAAGTACAGCTTATGTTCACTTCTTCTCTTTCCTACATGGTTTACTTGCAGTATAAAAATCCCAACATATTGTTATACATATTTATTACTCATAAGTGAACTGCACCAATCAGACTACTAGCAGGAATAACACCAATATGATGAGAAAAATAACACCACAATTATGCTGAACACAGAACATTTCTCCCTTCAAAAAGAAAATATGTGATAAGTTAAAGGGTGACCAGCCAAGATGTCTGGCAGCGGGGTGTCACAAATAATTTAAACCTTTCCTTCTTTCATACTAAATCATATATAGAAAATATGCAATGCTAAGATAAATTCAATGAAATGTGAGCATTAGTCAGATTTTCTGAAGCTCCTCTCTGGCCTCACTCCAAGGATACCCTGGCAGGGGATGCAAAGCCTCCCAGAGAATGACAAAACCTGGGAGACTATTGACACAATGGACTCCATTACTTTGACAAGTGCCTCAGTGTCACAGATCCTTTTTAGTTCCAAGAAAGGTCAGTGCCTAGCCAAGCAATACCTGGATAAGTCGAGGTAAACAAGAAGGTCAATACATGGAATAAAACTTTCAGGGCTTTTTCTGTCTACTGAAATGGCTTTAAAAGCTTTAAGGAAAGCACTTCACTGGTATTCATCACAAAACATCTCTGGCTAGCAGTGAAAGAATCTATACTAGTGTAGATTCCTTTTATTGTGTGTTTCCTTTTATTTATTTTTAACATTTATTTAAATCTAAACACTTGTACAATGGAGTACAGAATGCCAGGATTAAGAAATCAGGTGGCACAGGGGCTCAGTATCAAGAAAGCTTTGACACTAAAAGACAACTGTGTCTCAAGTCAAAGCACATAAGGAATTCTGAGCCCCCATCCAGCAGAACCTTTTAAGGCGGCTCTAGGAAGCAATCACTTGTTTGCATTGCTGCAAAGGGTTTGTCCTGAACGCCAAGGAATGCTGGACTATAGCTCCCCCTATGTGCTATGCCTGTCCTGGGAAACAGTGCTCACCAGCCTGCAGAAGGACCCCCAAAATGTTTTTACTGGCAATATCATTCAAGCTTGGGGCTCAGCTATGCAGGCTACTTTCTATCCAAAGTCAGTTTGAGATTTCTCCTTGGAAAACCTCACTAGCAGATTAATTAAGATTAATTACACCTAGGTATTACTCACATCACACAGGTGTTTTCTTCATTTGGATAATACAAATTTGCACTAACTCATACCTGAAAAAAGCCACTGCAAGGAAGAGGAGAAAAATGTGCAAAGACACCGAAAGGCAATTTTTTAAATAACTTTCTCATTATTTGGCCATCAAGAAGGAACAGAAAAACAATTAGGAAATGGAGTAGTAAATAGATGCTACAGATTAATGCTCACAATATTTCTATATTTCAGCAAAGGTGCCAGCAGGTTTACACTTGAAGAAAATACCTTTCTCCCCACTGTATTTTATTCAGCTTTCCATATTGATACAAAGAGATACATACCTGGGAAGTTAGCTACGTGGGTACATTCATCCATTACTCCCTTCATGAACATTAAGGATTCTCTCTGCAAAGTGTCACTCCTTCTCCTTGTATTTACCCTGTGTCCTTGTGGGCTGGTTAAGTTTTTACTGCTACTGGTGGAAAAGGTTTGATTTATGCACTGCATTTTAGGAGCATCTTGCATTAAGAGTCCTTCTGAAGAGGCACTTAGAGCACTTCTATTTGTGGCAAAGCTGTGAACTGATTCCTTAGATACAGTGTCATTCAAGGACTCAAAGCTGAATATTCTGGAAGTCATGTCCATGTCTGCCAGACTGTCCACACTGTCAGGGAAGTTCTTCACAAAGTCTTGTCCCATCTTGAAAGAATCCGTCTAAACAAAGACAACAATTAAGGGTTTCTCCCTTACACCAGTTGGTTAATATTATATGAACTCATAATTTAAAAAAAAATTAAAAATTAAATTAAGACACTACCATCACTTCTCACTCCTATTTTCAGCTTGTAGGTAATTCAATTAAATCCTGACCATAATAAATCATTCAACATTTCTGTCAGTTTAAAAAAATGCAGGAGGTACTTACATATACAGAAGCTGGTGATATAAACAATTGTTTTTCTTTCTATATTAAACTCTGAATTTGTAATTACAGTGATTTAAGCTTAAATGACCTAATAATAATAATTATAGAAAAATTAACATATGCAACCGGGTCTAATGTTATGTTTAAGACTGAAACATTGACAGTCTCTAAATACTAGGGTAACACAAGCTGAACACCTTGAAAAATGTTTCTTCTTTTCATTTTGTCTTCTCCATCAGTGTTGCTGGAGTGTATTTGACTTAAAAATGGCAAGTGCCCAACTAACAACTATCTGCACCCCAGCTCCTCTTCTCCTGCTGTGAGGAACTATGATGAAAGAAAGAATCTTGGGGGAGGGGGGAAAGGCATTTATCAGAATTTTTATATAATACATTTTATGTTGTAGATTACACTAAGAGTGATCAAAGGAAAAACTTGTAGCAAGGGCTACACTTTAATCTCGTTCTACAAATGAAGTATTAGTTTTGTTTCTCAGGTTTTTCCTTCAAAGACTAAATTCATCAAAGCACAAAGAAACAACATGCCAGTATGTTCTAGCTAAGAATTGTCTGCTTTTAGTGGAAGTAAAAAGAAGCTGCATTATTTGCTTGATTTGCACGTGTAAATATTGGCAGCTGGGTAAAAGAAACCGTACTTACTCCGCAATATTCAAGCATTTGAACGATTTCTTCTTCATACACAGTTTGTGTAAAATACTGCTTCTCCAGCTCTCTCCAGTTCACTGCCTTACTCAGCACACCCTGAAATGATAAACAAAAGCATTCAGCACACAAGGAAAACCCAGAGGTCACTTTAAAATAATGACACACACAGGAAATTGACCTGCTCCTGTCCTGATTTTTTCAGTGGAATTCTGTTCCCAGACAGCCCTCAGAATTATTGCAATCAAAGCACAAGCACATATTATAACACAGGACATGGAATCCCACCTCCCTTGTGGCCAGCCCAAATATTTTAATTTACATTTCTGATTATAACCTACCATGCTAACAAAAGATGTATTTTGTAATTTGTTAATTACCGTAGTGAAGACTGCAGAGGCTGTTGACCAGGAAAGACATGGAATCAATGGCAACGGTTTAGGCCAGTTTGTCACTGCCAGTGAGGCCATCTAAAAGCAAAGGCACTTATTACACATTTTAATATTGAATTCACAATATAGTAAAAAGAACTCTCTCATCTTCAATTTCTTTATTTATATGGTATTTAAGATATGGCACATGTGGTGCCAAAGAGTTAAGGATGTGGCAGCTGGATACACTTTCACCTATTTAGAAACTACTATCTAGTCTCCAATGATACTTAAAAAATAAACGTTGCTCTGGAAAGGACTCGTTTCAAGGCTGAATGTTTTTTGGTTATAAGAATTCCCAATGGAATATTTACTAAGTATTCCATTTATTACAATTAAAATTCAATTAATTATTTTTGTAGTCCATTAATTAACATTATAATTATAAAAAGAATACAAGCTATTAGTTGTTTAAAACCACAAAAAACTTCTATAAAGCTTTCTACCAAGCTCTTGCAAGTTTATTTCAAGGCAAAGCAAAGGCAATTGATGAGAAGAATTATTTAAAATTCTATACTTTCAAAATCTGTATACAGGAAACAGAATTTGAGGGATGAGTAATTCAACATGTTAAGAGCACTCTTTTTCTGTTCTTTAAGTTTGAATTACTACTTTTGTATTAGTTCTTAGAACATATTTTTGTGACTATTCTGTTTATCCCAGAAAAAGCCAAAGCAAGTAAGTTCAATGTGCAGAAGTTCCCTATATGTTATGTTCTTGACATATTTTATTTTATTAATACAAAACACTTCGTGTCTGTTCTAGATGTTCCAATAAGTGGATTTAAGGAACTGAACTATAATTCTATTCTAATTATTTTTATTCATAAAAAGTTACAAGAACACCACACATCTATGGTCTGATTCTCTCCAGCAGTAGAAGTCTCTCCCCTTTAGCAGACTGAATCAATGCTTACAACCTTCCATTGTAAAACACATCAAATATCACTTATTTCACAGAAGTTTCTGATTCAGCAGGGTGATGTTGATGTAAACCAAAGGTGCTCTGCACATTTATGACATTTACAGTTATAAAACTGTGCTTTAGGGGAATATTTTCCTTTTGGGAAACACTACCATTACCAACACTATTTACTGAGCTCCTAACTAACAAACAAAGGCATGCTGCTTTAATGAGGTTTGCACCTGCGTCTCACAGAGCTGTGATAATCTGCAGAGACACAAGCAGTAACATTTTAACTGTGTATCAGTCTTTGTGATACACTGCTGGTTTAGTTTGAGCATGCACAGTGTCACACAGAAAATGTTATCCACCTCACCACAGAAATCTCTGATCAGTACCAATGATCACTGACACCAAAAATCACCTCAATTACAACATGCCTGCAAAGAGGGGGTATTTCACACAATGCATTAAAGCACAAAGGTTTA